ACTCCAGGTTGAGGACGCGGAGTAAGTCGAATCACACACAGTTAGAGCAGCTCAGGCCAGCCCTGGCCTCAGCTGGGCTTCTCGGCTGCCCCCAGCCCAGGACCCTGGCCCCTAGGTGGCCAGCTACCTGCTCTCAGTTCCCGTCCCTGCTCTGTGCTGTCCAGCTCCCAGACCCCATGTGAGTGCCTGCAGGGCTGCGGGAGAGCCATGGCCCCGGGGGTCGGCGGGCAGAGGCGCAGGGAGGGATGCAGGGCCCCTGGGGACCGGCTGAGGACAGGGGGTGGGGTCTTAAGTCGAGTTCCAGTTGAGGGGATCAGCAAGGACAGCATCTGTCACTACCTGGATGGTGCAAATGGTCTCCCCTCCACCCTCCCCGAGCCCCAGCCCACGGCACTCGCGCCCTCTCAAAGGCCAGCAGGCGCAGGGCTGACAAGGGGCTGATTGATACTCCGCCACCTGCCAAATGCACATGTCACTGAAGCCTTGCTTACTCCTGGGACACGTTGGGGCAAACCTCGGCAGATAAGATGGGCCGAGTTTCAGGAAGCCCCTAGCTTTGGGGAGAGGCATGTCACTGCACAGCAGGGCCAGGTGAACGCCACTGCCTCCGTGCGCCCCTCGAAGCCGCACAGGCGAGGAGGGACCGTGCCCAGGGGGCTCTGCGTGCCTGAGCTGTGGGGAGGGAGACGATAGGATGCCTGGCAGGCAGCCTGAGACTCTGAAGGCAGAGGCACCGCCTCCCAGAGCAGGATGCTGAGGCCAGAGAGGGACCCCTCTTCTCTGCCACCAGCTCGGGCCTGGCTTTCCTTGGATACCTGATCGCTGTGGGCAGCGCCACTTGGAGGCGTGGCCTTGGCTCCGGGACTGAGAAGGAACAGGGACTGGGGAAGTAAGCAAGCCTGCACTGGAGAGTCAGGGTGGAGGGGGTGGGGGGAGGGAGGGTCCTACCAGGGCTGCACCTTAGTGCAGTGGACAGGGCTCGGGGGCCCCTCGGGCCAAGGTTCAAATCCTGCCTCTATCAGTGACTGCGTGTGAAACCTTTAAGTCTCGGTGTCCTTGTGGCAAAGGGGCACTTTCAGTTCCCACTTTGGGGAAGCCCTGAGATCCAGGAGGCCCCTCCTGTCCCCTCCTAGCACCCCATTTTCTGAGGGGCCACACAGTGGGGGAATGTCCGTCGCCTGGGACTAGCCTTGCCAGGAGGGAGTTGTGTCCCCGGGCATCGGATCGAGCCCTGTGAGCAGCATCGCTCTTCCACATCCTTCCATAGCCAGTGCCTGGTGGGCAATGCAGGCCGTTTCATTATTGCTATCATCACAGTCATCCCTTATTTCCACGGCACACCTCACAGGTTACATCAAGCTTTTTTATCCAACCCCTCCCCTAACCCAACCCCTCCCCTAATCCAACCCCTCCCCTAACCCAACACCTCCCCTAACCCAACACCTCCCCTAACCCAACACCTCCCCTAACCCTCAGCTCACAGAAGATGATCCCTCGTCCTGTTTCAGAAGGAATAAAATAGAAGCTCAGAGAGGGAAAGTGATTTGGGCAAGCCGGCACAGCTAGTAAGGGGCAACGCCAGGACTCAAATGGCCCTCTGACCTCCCACACCCCACCACTCAGAGGACAGAACAAGAGGGTCCCTCCCACTGACCCCAGATTCCTGCCTCTGAGTTGGGATAGTGGAAGGGGTACCACAGGCCTGGGTGGGTGGGCTCCTCCTCACCCGCCTCACAGTGAGCTGGGCCTCTGAGTGCAGGGCCCAGACAGTACGGTATTGTCTCGTGGGTGGGAAACATTGTCTTCCTCCAAAAGAAAAATAATCCAAGTCAGACCAGCCATCACTCATTAAAGCCTCTGCAGACATTACGGCCCCAGCAATTAACACGGGAACAATTATAGAGAACAATTATGCACCATCACCCCGGGGCAAGGGAGGGCTGGACCGTAGCCAGCCCCTCTTCTGCACCCCACTCCCCTTCAGCAGCCCCCCAGGGCAGCCTTCCCTCCACTCTCAGGCCCATGCCAATCCCTGGTTCAGTCCCAATAGCTCCTGTGAGCTCAAGGTCCGGGAGGGGCCTTGGGGCCTGCAAATTAGCACCAGGTGGGGATGGCTGGCCAGGGCGGGGATCGGGCTGTTTGGCGCAGTCCAGGGTGTAGCCTGCCCAGGAGGCTGTGCCAGTTTCCGAGCTTTGTCCACCGCAGACAGGCTGTCCCTAGAGCTGGCCTTTCCTCCTTGGGATGGGGTGGTGCAGCCCAGGGGCTCGGCTGGACTCCTCCTCTGGGTGCGATTAAACCTCTCTGATGTCTGGCCAGTGTGGCTCAGTGGTTGCACATCGACCTGACCTATGAACCAGGAGGTCACTGTTTGATTCCCAGTTAGGACGCATGCCCGGGTTTCGGGCTCGATCCCCAGTGTGGGGCGTGCAGAAGGCAGCTGATCAATGATTCTCATCATTGATGTTTCTATCTCTCCCTCTTCCTTGCTCTCTGAAATCAATAAAATACATATATATATATATTTTTTTAAGAAAACCTCTGATTCAAAATTGGGCCATTTTCCCATTTTATGAGGTACTTAGAAAATCATGAAGGCAGAAAGTGGAATTGTGGTTGCCAGGGTGGGGAGGAGGAGGGAATGGGGAGTTATTGTTTAATAGGTACAGAGTTTCCGTTTTACAAGAGTTAGGAGGGAAGAGTTATGAGGATGGATGGTGGTTATGGTGACTCAACAATTTGAATGTATTTAATACCACTGAACTGTACAGTTAAAAACGGTTAAGATGGTAAGATGTATGTTACCTGTTTTACCATAATAATAATAATAATAATAATAATAAAAGCTAGGCCTTGACACGGACACCAGCTACAGGGCCACAGTCAGCATTTGGTGGCCACTACCCACCCCCACCCACCCCCAAGGGAGATGCTAGGGACAGAGCACATGACCTGGGGCCTAGGGACCCCCTTGGAATTCTTCCTTTCTCATTTATTAGGTGTGTGGCTTTGGGTAGTCCCGCCTCCTCTGTCTGAGCCTCAGTCTACCAATCCGGAAAGTAGAGAGAACTCCTGCCCAGTCTGACTCACAGGGATGGAGCAATATGCTTGACAGGAAGTGCTTTGCAAACTGCAGTTGCCAGGTGACCCGCAGGGAAGTAAAGACCGTGCCCCCCAAACCCCCTCCCCCTTTCTCTCTCTCCCTCTCTCCCATTTCCCATTGGCAGCCACTTATGTCAGCCCCTAGTTTCAGCTCTCAGACCGAGGCCTAAGTGTCCCCGCCCTTGCCCTCTCTCCACCACTCACATGCACAAAGGACTGCTTCATTCCCAGCACCCAGACCTGTGACCCAGTCACCTACCCCACCTGTGTGGACCCAGACCCCGCCCCCAGCCACATTCCAGGGGCCTCTGGGGCATGGGGGAGGGTTTCAGCTGTGACAACAGAGGCTTTCATGAACTGGGGACAAGTATCTCTGGGAAGTCCCAGCCTGAGGGTGCAGCCAGGTCTCAGGTCTGTAGTTACAAAACCTCCTGAGAAGTGAAGTGGGAGAGGGGGGCTGTGGGTGCTGCAAGCCAGAGCAGCACAGCTAGGGAAGCTGCAGAAAGGGCTCCTGGCCCAGGGCTCAGCAGGGAAGAGCTGGGCTCTGGAGTCACCAGCCATGTGGTTTGCAGCAAACTAATAAACCTCCAAGGCCCACAGGACAATGGCAGGAAGAGCGCCCCCTTCAGGATTGGCATGGGAATGACAGGGTCACGGGTCTCCCTAGCACAGTGCTGGGGTCCCAGCAACAAGCATTCCATTTCCCTACAGACTTTGGGGGAAGGAGGGGGGATGATATGGAGGAGAATGTTCCTCCCTCGCCCCTCTCCCTCACAGGGTAGCCAGCTGTCAGAGCCATGGAACCTGAACAGATGCCCTCAGCCTGAACCTCTCGACCAAGGCCAAGTGGGACTTATTTACCTTTAATTGGCCTCCGTTCTTGGCAACCGAGCTATAAACCACAGGGGCAGGACCATACCCACCCAAGGGCAGAGTTGTACCAGGAAGTTGGGACTTGCGTTCCGGCTGGCCCGGCTCCAGGCCAGCCCGGTTGGGGGGTCTGTGTAGGAGGTCTGGGTCCCATGTGGGTCCCATTCCAGGCTCCGGGCCCAGGTATGGGCTGGTGGGCGAAAGGGGCTTATGTGGGGCTGCCCAGGAACGGCTGAATGTGTTAGCGCCTGCACACAGACGCACGCCAGCAGGCACTCCCCAGCCTTGCTGAGTGGATGCCTGCCCCCATTACTCGGGCTCTCACCCCAAAGCCCCAGTGTCTCCTCCGTCAGGTGGAAAAGTGTGTCAGCAGGAACTGCCCCAGGGGATCCCTGTCCTGGGCTTCACCTGGAGCCAGACCGAAATGTCCTGAGGACCTGGCACAAGGGGTGTGGATCCTAGGAGACCTGGTGCCGGCTTAGCACTGAGTTAGGAATCAGGCCACCTAGATTCTAGTCTTCACTCCGCCCCGTAAAATTGCTGTGCGGCCTTGGACAAGGTACTTAACCTCTGAGCCTGTTTCCTGCTCTGTAGATGCAACTCATACTTACTACCTTTTAGGGTTGTTTTGATTAAATGGCCCTTAGGAGGTGTTCAGTAACCATTCATTTCATACACACAAACACCAACCCTTGGAGGAATATAGTTGAAAGCAAACTAACCTGGAAGCAAAAAAATAATCCCACTTCTGCCATGTATTGGAGCAGTTACATATACGACAAAGCGTCTCACCTCTCCGAGCCTTAGCTTACCCTTCTGTGAAATGGGAGCAATGCTTATTTCATAAGCTTGTTTTAAGAAACAGGTTAATGAAGACTTCTGCCAACAAGAATGACCCGAACAGTCAGAGTTTGTGAGCACCCTCCCTTCCCTTTCCTGGGACAGGGTGGACTCTGGTCCAAATAAAACCTAACAAGGCCCCAGGCCTGGCCCGTTTCCATGGGCTGAAGAAACAAACCCGATGCCCTTCCTCCCTTGAGCCATAACATTTTATTGACAGGTCAAAGGAAGAGCCAGGGGTAAGGGTCCCTCCCCTCCCCTCCCCCCACCCAGGCGCATCCATCCCTCAGCTGGAAGCAGGAAGCCCCAGGAGCTGCTGGGCTCAGGCAGTCTTGGTGGTGAGCAGGTTGTTGTAGTAGGCATCCTGGCCCTCGAGCAGGCTGCGGTAGGTGGCGATCTCCTGCTCCAGCCGCGTCTTGAGGTCCATGAGCTGCCTGTACTCCAGGTTCTGCCGCTCGGTGTCAGCGCGCACGTCACTCAGCTGGGCTTCGATACTGCTGATCAGCCCCTGGATCTGGGCCAGCTGGACCCCGTAGCGCGCCTCTGTTTCCACCAGCGTGCCTTCCAGGGCGGCTTTCTGAGGGCAGGGAGAGACAAGGTGACTCAGGGGAGCCTGTGCCCCTGTCCAGGCTGCCCAAGTCCGCAAGGGCACGAGTGTGCATCCCACAGAGAAGAGGGCACCTACCATGCTGAGCTGAGACTGCAGCTCGATCTCCAGCCCCTGGAGGGTCCGGCGCAGGTCGGTGACCTCTGTCTTGCTAACCTGCAGTTGCTCCGTGTGGCCAGCGACCTCCCGGTTCAGCTCCTCAGTCTGCAATCAGAGAGGTGGCGAAGGGAATCAGCCCGGAGGCAGACCTTCGCCTCTGAGCATCAAGCCCTCTCTCCTTGCCACCCCCGCCCCCCGCCACCCTCCCACCAAGGGCACCTGCTTCCCCCTTCATACCTTGCTGGTGAACCAGGCTTCAGCATCCTTCCGGTTCTTCTCGGCCATGACTTCATATTGGCTTCTCATGTCGGTCAGGATCTTGGCTAGGTCAATGCCAGGAGCGGAATCCACCTCCACGCTGACCTGGCCACCCACCTGGCCCCTCAGAGCACTGATCTCCTGGGAAGACAGAGCAGAGGTGGGCATGTCAGGGCCCAGAGCCTGCTGGGCCCGGGCCAGGTCCTTCCCCAACCCCGCAGGCCGAAGGGGGCTGGTTTTCGGGTGCAGACCTAGGAGCTGGCCCTGGGGGAGAGACTGGGTTGCCACCATCCCCTGCTGGCACCCTGGAAGCCATGCTCCACACCCAGGGCCATGCTGAGAGTGCGGCCAGTGTGGCCGTGGTCAGAACATACAGGAAACAGGTGTCCTGAGGAGCCCTGGGAAGCCGGGGTGGCCCCGCTGGGAACCCACCTCCTCGTGGTTCTTCTTCAGGTAGGCCAGCTCCTCCTTCAGGCCTTCGATCTGCATCTCCAGGTCGGCTCTGGCCAGGGTCAGCTCGTCCAGCACCCGGCGCAGGCCGTTGATGTCCGCCTCCACGCTCATGCGCAGGTTCAGCTCCGTCTCGTACCTTTCAGAGGAAGTACTTGCAGTCAGGCCAGCCTTTCCTCTGTGCCTCTGAAGACTCACTTCCTCACCTCCTTAGGGTCCGGGGTCCATGAGGGGTGTTCTTCAACCAGTGCCCCCACTGCACTAAGCCCCAAAAGGGCCTGGGATTGCCCCCCACCCCCACCCCACCCCCACCTTCTTACCCACCCCCCCACCCCGGCTTCTGCAGCCCAGCAGGGCAGGGATGCTCACTTGGTTCGGAAGTCATCCGCAGCCAGACGGGCATTGTCGATCTGCAGGACAACCTTGGAGTTCTCTATGGTGGCACCAAGATTCTGGAAGGCAGAAGCTTGGCAGTTTAGCACACTGGCCCTGCCCACCACTTTCTTTTCAGAGAAAGGGGAGCACCTGAGTGTGCCCCTGCCGCCTGGAGACAAGCCCCTCATCTGCCCACGGGCCTGCTCTCTGGGAGACCTTGGCATCAGTCCTGCCCAGGAGGCGGAGCCGGGGGGGGGGGGGTGATGAGCAGGGGAGGGCAGGCAGGAGAGCCTGGGGAGAGTGTCTCTGAGACCTGTGCCCAGGGAAACTCCACATGGTGTCAAGGAAGACAGCCTCTATGATATGCAAACCAGATGCAGGGAAGTGGGGAGGTAGGGGGTTACCCCTGTCTGTATCCCCCACTCACAGCATTCTGCCCCAAGGAAGGGAAGTCTGTTGGGCATCTATTAGGAGCCGGGCACCTTACACCTCTTTCATGTCAGGTCAGTGGGTACCTATTTTGTGGGGGTGGGAAGTGAAGTTCAGGATTTCTTGTCACCCCCAATCTCAGGTCCCGTGACCTGAGGGGCATGGTCACACCATTAAGCTACGTGCATCCAGGTCATGACGCGTTAGTCATTGTGCTGTGCGGTGATTTGCATCGTTTTTAAATGGAACAGAACAGGATGAACATGGCAGAAGTGATCACTCACAGTAGGGTAAGGATGGCTTCCGGAAACTTTTCTCTCCATTGTGCATGTGTATGAGAGAACGTGAGGACTCATCTTAAAACGTATTTCCTAGCCCAGCTGGTTTGGCTCAGTGGATAGAGCATCGGGCCCAGGTTCGATTCAGGTCCGGGGCTTGATTCCAGTCAAGGGCATGTACCTGGGCTGCAGGCTTGATCACCAATCCATGTGTCTCTCTCACATCAATGTTTTTCTCTCTCTGTGTCTATCTCCCTCCCTTCCACTCTCTCAAAAAAAAATCAATAGAAAAACATAAATAGAAAAATATCCTCTGGTAAAAATGAACAAACAACAAAAATGTATTTCCTATCATAGGTCACATCTTAAAAAGTGCGCTGTGTATCTCTAGGCCTCCCTCCGTGTCTGTGGCCTGATCTATGTCCCAGCACCCAGCGCCATGCCCACGGTGGACACTGGGCAGTGCTGTGGGGAGACCAGAACGGGGCCCCCCACTGGCTTCTCCTACATGTGTTCAGGACAGAGCTCCAAGCTCTTCCCTGTGGGCGGAGCCCAAGCCCCACCCTGCAGGCTCCGAGGGCCCTTGTAAGAGCCCAGGACAGAGAACTGGTGCTCACCCGGTCCTGGACAGAGGTCTCCACAGCAAAGAACCCCAAGGCTTCTGCATCTGTCCCCACCCCTGGCCTCTCCCATTTCTCCTAGATCTTCTCTCAAGTTCCAGGTGGTTCCCTAGGCCTGGAGGGAGGGGCCTGAACGTGATGGAAACCAGACCTGGCCTTGGTCCTCCAGAGACAAGGAAAGCAGAGGCCCCATGGGGAGAGGGGGAGGTGGCGGGGGGGGCGGGGGGGGGACGACAGGGAGCAGCTCGAGGCAGGGCTGGTCCGGGGTGGACCAGATCCCTCCCAGGCCAAACTCCATTTTCCTGCTGCGAGGGCGAAGGGGGCTTCAGGTCTGGACGTCAGGGCTGCCCACAGCGGTGTCCTATGTCCCCAAATTCCTCCAGACC